GCGAAGCCCAGGTCGCAAATGCCACATCTGCAACTGGGTAAATATGACTTAGACGGGATTTTTGATTCATTCTTCAAATTTTCAAACCCAATAACCCTAGAGGCGATTTTCCAAAGAACTTTTCTTCCTCAAATCATTGGTAAGTGATTCTAAACTAGTTTCTTTCACTACTTTTCCTTAGATTTCAACCTAAAATCTAGATTTTCATGGTGGATTTAGGGGTTTTTGGGTAGAAACTTGGGATTTGATAAATTGGGGATTTAGACCTCAAATTGAGGTTGGATTCCAAAACAAATCACATAATCGGGCTCGGGGATGAATGAGTAATCGGATTTTGGTCTGAATTTTTGATTTGGACCAAGCGGGCCCGGGTGTTGACTTTTGCTGTCTTTTTCAATAATGACTTACAATGAATTCTTTTCAATCGTGGATAGTTCCTAAAGCTTAATCTGAATCGGTTGGTTGGCAAATTGCAAGATTCTATTGGTTCAGAGGCTCGTTTGAAAGGCAAAGCGGTGGTTGAGCTCTAAGTTTGGCCTTTGGAGCGAGGTAAGTGTCGTGGTTAACCTTGACTTAAGGGATTAAGACTTATTTGTCTATTTGCTACGTGTTTAGCTGTTGGATGCAACGTATAAGTGAGGTGACGAGTACCTTTGCGTTGTTGTGGGGTAAATCATGCGGGTGGGACTTGCTTTCTCTTAATATTGCTTTCCTTTGATCAAGTTATCGATGTTTAGACTAGTATAATCAAGTTGATCATTCTTGTCATGTTTACAGATCTTTTGGTGATAATTGAGTATTGATTTCAAAGTTAAGGTTGGTATTGTGGAACCAAATGTTGAAGTAATACTTGTTCTTGTTATTTCTATCTCCCTGTTGTCTTTTGTTCATTGTCTTGTGGTAAGGGAGAGTGTTAATGCACGAAGGGTGATGTGGTGGCATGTTTTGAGAGTTAATGCATGAAGGGTGATGTCGTGCCGTTTCTATTGATTATGTGGTGAGGTTGAGAGTAAAAGCACGAAGCATGATGCCGTGCATTTTCCTTTACTGTGTTTACTTGTTATTATTGGTTCAAGGTATATTGGTTGATCAAGCTCTCATTACTGCTGTAATTCTCTATCTTGTAATCCCGTTAGCATGTTCCCCCTCCCGATATTACATGTCTATCTTTTAGTTGTCTTTATTTTGTATATATACTGCTAAATTGCACAGGTTTATTATGTGGGTCTCTTGTCATAGCCTCGTCACTTTGATGTTAGACTTGGCACTTACCACTACATGGGTTGGTTGTACTGATACTACACTGCACTTCTGTACAAATTTTGGTATTTGTCCCAGCTGTGATCGAGAGGCGTAGCAGCTCAGAATGGTTCATCAGAGACTCAAAGCGGATATGTCGAAGTTCGTAGACCTTGAAGTCCTCATCTATCTTTTCTGTTATTACTGTTTCTCTCACTCAAACTGTTGTATTCCTTTCAGACTTTTTTTGTAGTAAATCCTAGAGGTTTATGAATTGTGACTCCAGATCCGGGTGGTAGTAAATATTGAAGTTTTTATAATATTCCGCAAACTCGGTTATAGCTTTTGTTTAGCTTAACTAATTCTGTTACTAAAATTGTACTGAAGTTGATTTGAAAATTCTATAACGTTGGCTTGCCTAGCAAGTAAAATGTTAGGCGCCATCACGGTCCCGAAGGTAGGAATTCCGGGTTGTGACAGGTTGAGTTCGTCACTACCTTTCAGTCCAAAGTTTGGACTCGTTACTTACTGAGTTGGATGTACTCAAGTTATTCCCTGTACCTCGTGTGCAGATCAAGGCGATTCCGGTCACGGTGGCGGTTGTTGATCGAGGCTTCAGAGTTCGGAGTCTATCAAGGTAGTTGCACGACATTCGCAAGCTTTGTCTCTCCTTCTTTATCATTAGTTGTATTTTTAGTTATTTCTCTAGACACTGTAGTGGACTGTATTCTTATTCAGACGCTCATGTACTTAGTGACATCCCGATTTTGGGTAAGATTGAACCGTATTTTTGGATTTATTCTGTTTTCTAAAAGGTTTCTTTAATGTTAACTGCTTCCGTTGTTATTTTTTTAAAGTTATTTTGCTCTTTACGCATGGCTCTGCTTCTCGTAAAGAAAAGGCCAGCCGACACATTAGACCCGGTTGTGATGGCGCCTCTCGTGAAGACAAGGCCAGCCGACACATTTCCAATTCGAAGTTAAACAGCTAAAAAGCAATACGACAGGATAAATCATGATTTAATAATGTTAAACGGCAGATAATATCATAACAGCGCGGAAGTACAACCCAAACACAGCTCAAACCGGGGTGTCACTAGTCATGAGCATCTACTACAATTGTCTAATCACATCAAGACCAAAATGGTCGGAAGATTTCAATAATACATAAGGAGGAATAAAGAGGGAGAAAGCAGAGCCGCGATCGCCAGGCAGCTACCTTGCTAACTCCAATGACAACTGCCACCAAGCTCAGAAAATACCTGAATCTGCACACAAGGTGCAAGGAGTAAATGAGTACTGCCAACTCAGTGAGTAATAATCATAAATAAATACTGAGTGATAAGAAATCACGAAAGAGCATCACATGTTGTATAGAAGCAGTTTTAAAAGCCAGTAGAAAGCAATGAAGCTGTAAAATCCCTTAAAACATCTTAGCGCAGTTTAAAACTTCTTTGAAAAAGACTTTTTCAACAGTTACGCAAATGAATGCAGAACAACTAGTGCAGATAAGCATAGAAATCCGCCCCTCGGGCACAAATATACATTTAAACAGGTAAATGACAGGTAAATAAGAAGGATAAGAACATAAGGTTTGCCCCTCGGGCACAATGTCAACAAATCCGCCCCTCGGGCGATATCTCAAAACAGTACCAGCCCCTCGGGCAATCACATAGAACAATACCATCCCCTCGGGCTATATCTCACATCACAATGGGTACCCGCGCTCACTGGGGGTGTGCAGACTCCTGGAGGGGCCCCTTTCGGCACAAACGCAATAACAAGCCATCTCGTGGCATCAAATCTAGGCCATCGGCCTCAAATTAGTCAAGCCACCTCGTGGCGTACATATCTCAGGCCCTCGGCCTCACATCAGTATCAGTGCATCACCGCTGCGTCGTGCAGCCTGACCCAAAAGATATCCTCACAACACAGGCCCTCGACCTTACTCAGTCAAAAATCACATAAGCCCCTCGGGCAACAGTAAAACAGTGTTTCTCAGCCCAAAACATCATTTAAATATTATTTGAGTATTAAAACTGAGTGAACGTGGTTGAGTTTTGAAAACAGTAGAAAATAACATGACTGAGTTCAAATATAAACCAAAACAGTGAGGAAATATCAACAAAAATCCCCGAAGGGTTCAAATAGTTGGCACGAAGCCCAAATATGGCATTCAACCCAAATAATGATGATAATAGATAGATTTCAGTCAAATGCGCGGTAAAATCATCAACCGGGACGGACCAAGTCACAATCCCCAATAGTGCCACGCTCGTCGAAAAGCGTGTGCCTCACCTCAATATAGCACTACGATGTGCAATTCGGGGATTCAAACCCTCAGAATATCATTTACAATCATTACTCACCTCGAACCGGCTAAATCTCTAGCTCGCGACGCCTTTGCCCCTCGAATCGGCCTCCACGCACGTCGAATCTATCCAAAATCAGAACGAGGGCATCAAAATATGCTAAGGGAACAAAGCCCAAGCGAAAACAATCAATAAAGGGCACAAATTCCGAAATTACCAAAACCCGAGTCCCGGTCCCACTTCTCGAAACTTAGAAAGTTTCACACCAATAGATTCCTTATCTCCCCACGAGTTCATACATATCAAAAGTTCTCTAATCCGACCTCAAATGGTCCTTCAAATCCCAATTCAAAAGTCCAATTTCTCAAGCCCTAGTTCTTCAATTTTAGGCTTTGCTTTCATGATTTTCTAGGTGGAATTCACATAATAATCGAGTTTTTAGTCCAAAAAACTTACCTTCCAACGATTCCCCTTGAATCCCTCTTCAGTCTCCTTAAAAAATCTCCAAAAACGAGCAGCTATGGGTGAAATAAGCCCCAAAATAGCGGACAAGACGACTTAAAAACATTCTGCCCAGGCCTTAATTTCCTTATTCGCGAACGCGGTCAAAGCCTCGCGTTCGCGAAGCACCAACTTTTACTCTTTGCGAACGCGACATGGCAGACGCGAACGCGATGCCTCACTTTGCCAACCTACGTGAACGCGACCCAGTCTCACGCGAACGCGATGCCTACCAATACAGCCCTCCGCGAACGCGAAGCCTCTCTCGCGAACGCGAAGGCTAAATTCCTGGCCTTCCTCAATCCTTCTTCGCGAACGCGAGACTCTACTCGTGAACGCGAAGAGATAAATCTCTGCAACAGCCGAGCAGATTTTTTGCAATTTTCCAAACTCTCAAATGATCCGATTGACCACCCGAAACTCACCCGAGGCCCCCGGGACCTCAATCAAAGGCACCAACACATCCTAAAACCTTATTCTAACTTGTTCCAATCATCAAAATACCTCAAACAACATCAAATCACCCAAAACACATCGGATTCAAGCCTAAGTTTCTAAAATCTTCCGAAATACGCTTTTGATCAAAAACCCAACCAAACCATGTCCGAATGACCTGAAATTTCGCACACACATCCCAAATCACATAACGGAGCTACCCTTATATAAAAATTTCGCCTACCCACCGAAAATCGCCAAAATATCAACTTCGCCAATTCAAGCCTAAATCTAATCCGGACCTCCAAAACCCATTCCGATCACACTCCTAAGTCATAAATCACCTCCCGAAGCTAGTCGAACCATCGGAACTCACATCCGAGCCCTCTAACACATGAGTCAATATCCGGTTGATTTTTCCAACTTAAGCCTTCCTAAAAGAGACTAAGTGTCTCAAACTTCACCAAAACCAGTTCGAATCCAACCCGACCAACCCGATACCTCAAAACACAAATAAACAAGGCATAAAGAAGCAGAAATAGGGGAAATGGAGCGGAACTCATGACGATTGGCCGGGTCGTCACATTTTTCCAAGATCCCTTTTCCCTCTTTTCTTCTTTTAGGTTTTCGTCATGATTTTTAATTTTGCAACCTACTGGCTGGTGTGTGTTAAATCGGATGGTAAAATTGCATTTTTAAGCTCTAACTTGCTGAGTTTTTGAATTTCGTGATTTCCTGGGTGCTTCACGTACTTCGATTTTGAAATTTTAGGGCTTTGTGTGCTGCGATGCTCAACAATTCTTAATTTTATCACCCAGATAGTAAGGTATATATGTCGTGATGCTCTGTCGATCTTCTTTATCTTTTTGTTTTCTGGATCAACTCTCATTGCTGTTATGTAATTCTTTTTCTTTTTAGATGGTGTATATCTCTTTTTTTTTATAAAGTCCAATATTTTATTGACTCTCTTGAAAACGGGTTTGCAGGTAAGCTAAATTGGAGAAGGAGTTAACAGATGTAGAAGCGAAAAGGAGCAGAGAAAGGAAGACATACGCATATGTAATCCATATATGTAGTTCAGCAAAATCTACCTTTTCAGAAAGTTTCCACAAATTCAAGGTAATCAGGTGTAGAATTTGGGTTTGAAAATTGCCTAATACTATATTTATGATTTGTGAATGATGTCTTCTACTAATTAAAGTAGAGCATAATTGCCCCAATTTTTGCAACAGAAATATTTGACTATTAGATATTTTGCAATAACAGTACTTTCATTGCTTCGTAAATTACTATGTTATTTCCTTCTGAAGAACTCGGATTTGAGTTGATTTTTGTTTCAAAAGTAGAATTGGCAAGTCAAAAAATTGTGGTATTTGTGTAAGACAAATATAATACTTTGTGATGATTATTAATTGATATTTTTTAGTAGGTAAACTGTCAATTTTAAAACTATCCACTAAGGGAACTTTTGTTGACCGACTCTATTATTTGAGTACATATATCTAAGATGAAACTGTTTTTTTTTTCTTCGTTTAAGCACTTGACCTGATACTGGGGAAAAAAATTTACACGCATTGACTCTTGGTATGGATTTTTCATAATGTGTGTCTAAAGCAATAGTGAAAATAAAGAAATTATTGCAAGTATTTTGCTTCTAGCTTTATCTTTAGAGCAATGTATTCCAAATCTTAGGCCAATTTTATGTCTATATTTAGTATGTATTGAATCAACAATCAGGTTTCTTTTTTGTGTTCAAACAAAAATTTGCTCAACTTTGTCTTACTTTGCAGGTGGCATTTTCTATGATGACGTCCACACTCTAGAGGAGATATATTGTCTATGTGAAAGGTAAACAAATCCAGATCAATATTTAGTCAATTAAAATATAATTTTAGGAACTACCGTTGTTGACAAACTAATTAGATACACTCTTAATTTTTCTGCTAAGGCTGCCTTATTTTACATTTTCATTCAATGGGCAAAGTGTTGGGCAACTAGGTATGATGTTTCTACTGTATCATAAAAGAACTTTATTAGTGTTAAGTGTTAACTATGCTTAAGGTAATGTGAAATTTAATGTGAACAGAAATCTAAGTTCTTCTTTCATATTATAGACTTAAAGCCGAAATTTAATCATCAAATGTATAAAATTTAATAAAAAAAGACCATAAAATTCTTAATTTTTTGGCAGTTGTCCTAATGACTTGGAGTTTGGTGCTTTTAATTGGTTGTTCTTCAAGTGCATTTTTCATGGCAGGAAGAGATAGGTATAGTTAGAGTTTTAATTTAAAAAATAATATTATAAGATTGGTAGGGAGAATAAAAACAAGTGAAAACTTACAAAGTTTGTAGGTTCTTGAATTGGCTCAAACCAGATATTTGCCTCTAAGTTCGTTGCTCCACAACCATCTTTAAATTGAGAAACTTTGAATTAGTATGATAATCCATTGATAGAGAACATTGATCTTTTTGAATATTGCCATCTCATTTGTGGTGTAGACTACTTTAACCCCCACAGTTTAAGCTTAGAAGTGCTGCAGTTTTTATGCAGATATAAGATAGATGATAATAATATTTGGATATACGTCGTTATAAGAATGAAACAATTGCGTCTTTTTTTAGTTTACTATGCTATAGAATCTTTTTAGATTGTCTTTAGATATCAGCCGAGGAGGTAGGTAGTTATGCAAAGTGATTAAATAACTAGAAGTGAATGATATATAAAAATGATGTTAAATGAGAATTGATTTGGTCTTTTAGACATATTGCCTCAATAGTGTTGAAAAATAGATAAATTAACATGAATGCACTTATAAGAATTTAGAAGCTCAGATTAATCAGAATGAACTTAGGAGCTCATACAACATTAGCACAAAAGGAAGGGTGTGTGCTGCATATCTCCTTCAAATATAGATTGTAACGATTTAAATATGTTCTCCCAGTAGCATGTTTGTGGTTCTTCTTTACTTCACACTGTTGGCTTGTTTTTGGAGAGAAGCATAGAATGCTTTCAAGGTGGTAGAACATCGGTTTGATCTTTCCTTGATTTTTCCCCCGTACTTTGGTGCAAAAAATGAAAAAAAATATAAATAGTATGGATTAGATGCTAGATTCCATTAGCTTTATCAATAGCTATAACCAAAGTGTGCTTTTGTTTATTTACATCACACTGAAGATTTTGGTTGAAGGATAGAGGTGAATTCTACTGGTCTATGTTGGAATGGAGGCTAGAACTAATCACACATTCTATTATGCGCTTCATATCATAATGAATAGTGATGAGATAACGGGAGTAAGAATCAATAACTTGTTATATGATGATGTAATTCATGTAACAGAATATACAAAACAGATAAAACTACAGTAAATACTATTGGATAGGTTTTTTACTTGGTACCACAAAACTACATTCTCTGTATAACTAAATTTGGAAAGGATAGGATGAGCTGGCTGGATCCTTTATTTTTTTTCCTACATAAGACTACATCTGCAATTAGCACATGGAGCTATTTGACCAATGAGGGAGATTTGCAGTACTATCAATACAGAAAGAGGGAAAAAGAAGAACGAAATGGCACTTGTGCACTATTAGACATGACGTAAACTGGGTAAATCGTACTATTGCAACTGGGACAAATCCACGGGTAATATATCTTTGTGGCTTCTTTTTATTATTCACTTCATGGCTGCATTATACATAGTTTTGCCTAGATATTCTCTGTATTGCAGCAAGCCATAAAATTGACTATTGTCTGCTTGCTGAAACATATATTTTGCATTAGCATGTGTGATCTTTTTGTATTCAATATCCCTTGCTTGTAATGTAAGATCATGTAAACTCTTATGCTTTATTCTATAACAAAATATTCCCTTTTTATTCTTTAGAACAAGCGTCTTACTTGATAACTTATCGACATACTTCTTTCAAATACAGATATACCTTTAGCTATTGATACTCTATTGTTGCTTGTAGGATGCTCTTGTATCAACCTGCATCTCACAGTTAGAAGGTTGCGTTGTGCAAGTGGCAATAGAAGTCGAGGAACGTGGCTGTCAGCCATTACAAGCAGATAGTCTTTCAACATTCTTGGAAGTTTGCCTCAGTTGCTTTAATCTCTTTAGAGTTGGAACCATCCATGAGTGAATATTTTGTTCCAAAATGTATGTAAATAGTATCTAGCAATTAGTTTGTGATGTTTATGTCTGATTTGATTAAAACTTACATGTGTTAACTTTTATGTATGCAATTTCATACTTGAACAAAGTTTATATAATAATAATTTTAATTTTTATAATATTGGGCCCGTGCTGGCACGTGCTAGCCTTACCTAGTATATATATATTACTTACCTAGAAGCAGCTCGAGGTCGTCATGTGTGCTTCCCGCTAAAGGGTATTCTGGTCATTTCAGGTTTAGTCTTTAATTTCTCTTAGAACACCTGTAGGCACCCTAACACTGACAGCAGCAAAGTAGCCGCCTAGATTAAGATCGGCACTTGGGTTTCTTTGTTGCTCAACGCGTGGAGTTCCATTTTTTACATTTGTAATCTCTGCTCTCTCGCTGTTGTTGTTCTTTTTGTTGTTGTTAATTGCACTTCAATGAATTTTCCTTGCTAGACTGTTATTTTCTGGTGTGTACGCTGGTCCTCATCTTGTGCTTCTTTCATCTTTGAAGGCATGTTAGAAATTTGCGTTTCTTGAAGAATTAGGCTTCTGTGTATAGAAATTTAACATGCCAAGGCTTTTGTTCTCTAAGTGTTTGAGAAAATTCTTCAATGAATTGTGCTTCCGGGGTGAGTTTAGTTCATACTAATTCGATTCCATATTTTCCTTTTGTTTTTCTGCTACGTTTGATTTATGCAACAATGAAGTTTTATACTTTAAAACCTCACAACATAATGATAATTCTACTTTTAAAAAGATTTGTGCTTTTGTCGATAAAATTTTAGAATAAAAAGGGTTCGGCTGCATGTTTTAAACAATTTACTTGTAGTTCAGCAGATGCTCTAATAAAATACATCTTTTCCTTTAAGAACTTGCAGAATTACAGAAACTTGGCCAAATAATTTAACATGCTAATTCTAAAGTCATTTATACCTATTTGACACTTTCTGCTTCAGTAATTGTTACTGTAGACGGTTTAGGTGCACTATTTGATGGAGAATTTGTGATTTTTGTAGCAAAAGTACTCAAGTAAGAACTCTAAGAGGCAACAGCTGAAAGAACGATGATTTTGGTCAATTCGATGATTTCCTCTGCAGAAAACTACTTGGTTCTTTTAAAAGAAATTAAAAGTTTGATTCTTTTTTAGTGAAGAACATAGCTTTTTAACTTGGTTGTTCGTGAAATAAGAAAGCCTGTGAAAAAATGAATTATGTTTTCTTTGATGTCTAGAGTTATTAGTTAGCCCTGCCCTGCTATTATATCCTTAGCCTAAAAATTGCTGAGTAAGCGCCATGACCTGCAGAGCCTTCTCATTGTTTTCATCTGCGTTACTCTGCTCTATCGTATTTTCCCCCTTTTCGATTTCTCTCAATGTTCTCCTGTTGGCCTCTGCAAATAGTTTATCCATATTTTTTCTATTTGAATCTCCTGCGAGCTCTCTAATTTAGTTAGTTGTTTGTGCAATTTTCTTTATTTTTTGCACTTCTTCTATTGCTAAACCAAATTTTGGTTGGTGAATGTTCGCTTTCTTCTGTTTTGCATTATTCTTTCTAGACTTTTTACATACGTGTCAGTAATTATTCCTGATTTGCTCATTTATTATGATTTTTTTATGAAATTTGTCTTCTGCTACTAATTAATCAGTTTAGGATTGAACGGTCTTATAAAAAAAAATTAGTATGAAAGTTCGTTCAAAGATTGGGACTCTTGATTTACGCTTTTTTTTTTCCTGCAGATTAACCTATCTAAAGATGCATTCTGAAATTGGAGATGAACAACAAGAGAGGGAGGATGGGCTGATCTGTGGTTACTGCCAATATACGCATGGTATGATTGCTTTACCAGCTTGAGTTTCAATCTCTCTATTTTTTCCTGTTTCATAATGTGATTATTAATAATAATAATAATCATTGAAACAGACTATGCACCCAAAGAGATGATATGCCTGACTCATCTTTTTTAGAGTAAGTCCATAATTTTTATTTCAGATACCCCGTTAGGAGATTGTGCTTTTTGACACTCAAAATTGTAATTAGCTGCTCCGAATGCTTATTTGCCTGGGAAATTTTTTTATAAATCAATTTGTGTTTCGCTTGTGCAGATACGTTGTACACTAGATTACTGTAGATAGGTTAAACTATAATATTTGTTTTTCACATTTTATGCATTTTTGTTTTTCATTGTGGAGATACTTCATTTTTAGAAAATTCTATTTATTAATCGAGAAAACAGAGATTCCTTCCGATTTTCTGACAGTAGAGTTTAACATTGCTTTAGATGTAGGAGGATAATTTTAATATTTCAAGTAGTCCAAAGATACCGTAAATTGCCTTTGTTCTGTCTTTGTTATTTTATGTTTTGTTTGTTTTTTGAGTGTATTTATCCTTTAGTTTTCAACATATCACCATTTTGTGTTTTATCTTCCCTATTCGACTTGTCTATTGTTTTATTATGTGTGTTTGTAGCGCGTGAAAGACTTTGTCCTCAAATATTATACCTATTACAAATTTAACTCAAAATAGTCTATATGTTTTATTATGTGTGTGAGCACGTGATTTTTGCCCTAAGCAAACTATTTCCAAAAGTCTCAAATAATTGATTTCTCTATTATTTTACAATTTTTGTGAATTTTTTGCTACATTTTTGTGTTAATTGGTTGCATTTTATTCATATGAAAATACAAATAGGCATTTGCATTTAGGGATTTAATGTCACAATTTTAGTATTAGTTAGTTTTAGAACAAAGTTAAAGAAAATTGCAAAAAATAGTTCTTTACACGTTTAATTGTTAATTGTTGCATTTATCTTTAAATAGAATTTTAAATAATTTTAGGAGTTAAATAGATTAATTAGGTCTTTGTTTTGTTTTAACATTTTATAAAATCAGAAAAAATAATAAGTAAATACAAAAGGCTAACAAAAGAAAAGAGTAAAAATAAAATAAAAGAATGGTCTTGATGAAAGACCAAATTTTGGGCCAAAATTCAATTTTAAGCCCAAAAGTCATTCAAAACCGGACCAAACCACTGGCCCAAACGCCCTGCCTGGTCCAATTGCCCCATACTCAAAACGACGTCGTTTTGACGTCGTTTAATCATGACCGTCCATCCCCTCAAATCCAACGGCCTGGATTGATCCTTCAATTCAGATAAAAGTGTCCGACATTATACCCAAAACCCTAAAACATCCCTCACCCTCCTCGTACTCCCTGTAACGCCGGCGTTACCCCACCGTCCTCCTCCCATCTCCGCCGGCCGGAAATCGTCGCCGGCGGCGGCGATGCTCCAATGGACCCAAAAATTACACCATTGAATCCCCGTCCCCTCCTCTTTCCAAATACCTAAATCCCATCCCTCAAATCCTAGCCGATCTTCTCAAATCTTAGATCGAAATCTCCGGTAAAAACCCTAAATCATCCAAACTCATCCAAATTCACACCCTACCCTCCTCCGACCTCTATCATCCCTAAATCCTCATTGGTTTCTCTCAAATGTTAGCGGAACTGTTCGAATCTAAATCATGGCGATGGCAGAATTCTAGGAATTTGGGTTTGCTCATTTTTTTTTGGATTCCCTGAGTTCTGCGTTGGATTCAAGTCACGAAATAACGTGTTCATTTGTTCTTTGGTAAGAACAAACGATTACGTTATTCCGAGGCTCGAATCGTTTTTTCTCCAGCTTCCAGTTCGGGCTCCATAGGTAATTTCTTCTGGTTCATTCACCTTTGTTATCGATTGTTATCTCTTCTCGATTAAGTTAATTTAGGATTTGCCCGCATTCTTCATTTTGTCTGTTAATTGGCCTTGTGTTCNNACGGAGTGGGTCCCCTAGGTAGCTAGAAGCATAAATTGAATTAATAAATAATGTAGAGTAATAGCAAAAATTATATATTCGCAAACTTGTGCACATATGGCTCTATCTTTTGCTGTTAATATTGTCCGGATGCCTAATCTTGAATTTAAATCCTACCGTATAGTATACATAACATGTCTTAAACCCATTTATCGCATTTGATTTCAAAATCCAATAGTTTTTTTTTTTTTTAACATAACACACGGATATTATATATATATATATATAAAGCAAAATTACATAGATATGGCAGATGCTTTTAGGGCTTACCCATAGTTGCCAAATAGTTACAAACATTGTTAGACAAAGTTCTAATGCCATTACAAACTCCATGCTTGTCCTTGGTAACTTCATGCTCAACAAAAAGGGGTGGACGTGCATGGTAAAAACACTTAGACGTTGATATATTTTTGGTGGCTTGCTTGGCTAGTACATGGGCCACCATATTTCCTTCTCTAAAATTATGCTTCAGAATTGGGATCTTCAATTGGTGCATTAGCCATCTGCATTCACAAACAATATTAGAGTAGTTAGAGTTATTCTCGTAAATGAGTTTAATGACATATGTGGAATCAGTTTCAATTTCCAGCATCGTGAAGTTCATGTCTCTTGCTATTTTTAACCCTTCTAGTATGGCTTGTAGCTCTGCATGGAGGGGAGAACTTGCTTGGCATGATTTGTGATAGCCTACAATCCAATCACCTTTGTTATTTCGAAAAGCTCCTCCAATTCCTGCCCTACTACTCTTATTACAGAAAGCACCATCGCAGTTTAATTTAATAACTCCTTTGTTAGGCTTTATCCAAGTAGTTTTCTCCACAAAAGGATTTCTTTCAGTGAAGAAGTTAAATTCCCAAGATGCATGTATAACCTTTTTTATGTCTAGGTAGTTATTCAAGTTATTGTTGTTCTTGTTTTTCCATAGATCTCATATACAATAGGGGAATATAGTAGTCCATTTCCTGGGAGAGATGCAGTTATTAATGAAGATATCTCTTAAATTAGTTAGCCAGTCTTTGCGTTTCCCAATATCCAAAGGTGGCAAGCCCATATTTTCCCAGAAATGCTTTGAGATAGAACAACTAACAAAGATGTGTTGAATGTCCTCGATTTCGGCTCTACAGATTGTACAATTGGGATCAATGTTGATACCTATTTTAGCTAGGTAAGCCCGACAAGGAATACGGTTGTGCATGCATTGCCATAGAAAGAACTTTATTTTAATCGGGCATTGGAGGTCCCAAATCCAGTTAAAAGGTCTTGAGTTAGAGTCATACTCA